TAATTATTGTAGAAGGATCACATTCAACCTCAACTTAAGTGTTTCAATGATTTTAAACCATGTCGTTTGCATCCAGCGACAACGATCCCCCTCGGCCACCCAGACACGGTTGCCAGTTTGTGATGTGATTTTCAAGGTAAGCCAGGCCTCTGTTAATTCACACTCTGCTGGGGGACTAGTGTCCTTTTCGTAATGGACAAGTCCAGGCAAAATTCAATCCAAAAGCCTACTTGTAAACGAAATAAGGAAAAATATGAAGACCAAGATGGTGTTGCCTTTGGTATAGTAGCAACCTCATTTTGCTGTAGGGAAGTGGGCTGAATTCGTTTTCCTCGTCTATTGCCATAGCAAGTATAAGTTTGCTTCATCGACTATCCCACCACAGAAAGTGATATGGGAAAATGCTTGGCCTTCCTTGAAATTCATATCTGCCCTGTGGTCCAAGGGCATCCATAGCAATGTGGCGTAGTGATTAACGCGCCAAGATTAATCACTGCATTCTCATGGTTCGAGTCCCGCCGAAGGCGTTGATAAGACCTAGGCGAGGTCGAAACAGCAGTCCACCCTAAATGAGAATACCTTATGGGAAAGCAAAGCTATGCGAATTGCAATGGAAACGTCATGTCTATTCATATCATTGTGGGACAAATTCAATTACCAGTCTTTCATCACCTTAAACGAAATGGGGTGAACACCTGATTTTCTGGTAGTCTCGAAAATCTACTCAATAGCGAAATATAGTTTAAATATTTTAACAAAAATTTAGTCGCCCTAGGTGATTTAGAAAATGAGAGTGATAATAATAGGCCATATAACTCATTTAGTCCTTCTTCCCAGTGAAATCCAATGGCCTACCGAGGCCTATTCATTTCATTGTATGAAAACCCCCTTTAACAGATCATATATATCTTTAAGCGACCTAGGGTGATTAAGTTCCTATTCAAGAATTGCTGGTAGTCTCGAAACAATTATACATAATGATTTTCACTAGTTTTGAGAGGAAAGAAGAAAACGCAAGGATAATGTCCTCAGGTCATCGAAATAAAACAACTATGTGAAAAAAAAGATAAATGAAGTAAGTGAGGAGACATTTGGGATATAAAGAGCATAGAAGGCCAAATCAGCTCCTCAAAAAGCCCTAGGCAACTGGCTTATTGGGCCTTGTGATACCCAGCGATTGAAAGTTGTCAACCCCCAAAATGAACGAAAAGCAAGCCAAATTTGTGAATTATGCACAAGCTTACTTTCAATAATGGACGCAAAATACACAATGACGCTGTACACTTAGAAAATACGGCAATGCTTAGTTGGTAACTAGGGGACTATTAGATTGAATGCCCTAGGTTAAATAAAGGGAAGACTTTATTCTAAGTTGAATAGAAAAATTATAATTTTATCATAAGTGGAATTGAGTCCATAGCTCGCCTTGCCTTTATAATTATTCCTGTAGACTTCAAATCTAGTGTGAATAGGCGCAAAAACAAACGGATTGTGGCTGGGGTAGAGAATGGGGGAAACATTGGAATGCTTCTTCTAAGTGTAAATAGGTTCTCGGACAAACAGTAATTCTGGAGTGAGAACTTTGTTACCCTATTTCGCTTAAGATGATTGAGGAACTGAAAGTTAAATTTTTCCACCTTAAGACAAATGGGCCAAAAGATGCCAGTGAATTTCACTTAACCTTGCCGACCTAACAGCTATCTCGTCCAGGATTGATTGGATAAAATTCGTTTACATAGTAAAGTCTACTCATATCGCTGTATAAAAACCCAAATATTAGTCCCTAAATCAGCTTAAGCGACCTATGATGACTAAGCTCCTATTCAATAATTCGCCAAAATTTGAAAACGACTAATATAGAAAAGAAGTAACCATTTCTTTGCTTAATCGGCAATCCTACTGAATAATAATAATAGGATTTGGAAGAGGCCTGGCCTGCCTTGAATGTCACCCCTGCCCTTTGACCCCCTGGCACCCATGGCCATGTAGTGTAATGGTAACATCGCCACGATACTCGAGACCTAATATTGAATCCAGCTGGGGCGTTTATGAGACCTAGGAGAGGTCGAAACTGCAGTCCATTTAAGCCCGGATGATATAGCCTTTTGTGAGACAAGACTAGGTGAAATTCAAAGGTATGGTGAGGCCTACACATACAATTTTTGGAGAACTCAACTATCCATCATTAAACCACCTTAAGCGGCCTAGTATAACTAAGCGTTTAGTCTAGAATTACTGATGGTCTCGAAAGCTACTTATATCGAAAATTTTCCAAGATGAATAAAGAAGACGAACCGGTAAAGCAATAATAAGCTGGCGAGGCTTGTACGCTTTAAACTCAAGAATTTTAACTATAGGTCATCAAACACAATTAAGAATTCATATAAATTTTCTCAGAAACTCAAAAATATAGGACTGGAAGAAACATAATTATTGGTAAGTTCTGACGTACGACCTAGCTATACAAGCATCTATGGAGAATAGGCATTTAGGCTCTGCTATAACTTTTGGATAAAGAGAAGAGCATCCTCTTCATAAGCGGGGAGAATTAGGTGGGAGACTTTAACACGACTAATAAATTTTACAATAAGGACCATCTACTTGACATGCAATGGCAATATCTGTGAGCAAATATTTGGACTTACAATGGAATCACCCCTTTCGCCTCTTTTAGCAGAAGTGTTGGCCAGAGTATTTATGCAATTTGGATGTCACTATCCTATAACTTAGAGTCCTATATAATAAATTGATTCGCAAAGAGCCACTATTTCATTTTTAAAATTTTCATTCAAGTTTTTGACAAAGCCGAATCTAAATCGCACCATTTCCGAGCTAAGTGAATTCAGGTTCGCGCAGCAGTAAACGTGCTGTCGTTACTGTAACCCGACGTGAAAGAGTAGGTTAAAATACAAAATGAAAACAGCTACGACCCATAGACATCAAAGCAAGAAGAAGAGTGCTTACGTGGAAATGAGGTCTTAACTTGCCGATCAGTAGATGAACAAATTGATAGCAGATACGGCCATGGCGTATGATCACAAACTTGTATAAGAATTTTGAAGCCTTGAAGTATAATGATTAACTTTTTGTTAACAACAGGCCGAATTTCATCAGGCGATTATGTATTTTTAAAAATTAGCTATTATGAAAAGACACAGAATAATCGACACAAATATACGATTTTCGAATGTTATGACGCGATTGTTCAAAATAATTTCCAGGACAAAAATCGAAGCAAAATCTATATAGAGAATAAATAACTGTGGTAGTAGCATCGGTATGACAAAATAAAAAGACGGTGATCACATTCGACCACAAAAGACGAACCGGATCAAGGATACCAATACTACCGGTAAGCTAAAGAGGTAATACCAACAAACCTGGTAGTTATCCCAGAAGTTAAGAATTGGCTCCTGTGCTTCTGAAGTAGAGATCACAGCCTCCTCTTCATCTTCATCATCGTCAGCATCCTCCTCCCCATTATCTGCCTCGTTGTCGTCTACACTCTTAGTCCGCTCCTTTGGTACATTTATTTCCTCGGTCATGTTCAGCTTTAATGAGTCTGATTGAGTCTGATTGGAACTGACTTGAAGAATTTGACCATCCCGACTGCTTCTCATTTTACATGCCTCATGTTGACTTTCTGTAGGTGCCGAAAACTCGGTATTCCAGCTAGAACACGAAAGCCAGTTCACCGAAGTCATATCGCCACACAAGCGTGAGCTAAAATTTCGATAAACCACGGTTTAAAAAATTTAAAGCTACACTAATAATGGCAACAGTGAGATCAACAGGCTCACATTTTCACATGGACGTACATGCAGTGAAAAAATGACTGAAAGGGATGAAATTTAAGTTTAGATGCAAAATGCCGTTTACGGACTGAGAGCTAAAACGATTTAATGCAAATATATGGATTTAGAGAACTACAGGATGAGAACGGTATGCATCCTAGGCAGCATAAGTCGATGGAAGACAGGTAGCATCGTAACCTACTTAATTTGAACATGAGCTAGCAGAGAGTAACATCTTATGAGTATTTTTAGGTAATGAATAAATCTTTATATGCATAAAATTAACTAAGTAATACTAGGCTTTTTTTTAATACAGTGCTTAAAAAATTGATTAGAGTAAACAAGTCTTCAAAAAGTGTTGAAGAAACAAAACTTGCTGGTATCCACGGTTATTCTGATTTACACAAAGCACATACATCCCTAAACGCCTTGAGAAGGTAACTTGAAAAATCTGTTCACAAAAACCTGATTTACTAGATAGCATGCAATGCAAAAAGGTTAGACTGAAGAATGTCTGGCTTTCTTATTACAATAAGGAAAATGTTGTACTTCAGACCATTCTCAGCACCAAGCTACGACTCGTCAAAGAGACAAGTAAAGTCAATCTCTTGACCAACTTTCTGCCGAAACAGTTGTAGCTTGGTACTGAGAATGGCGAGACTCATTGAAAGTGCCGACTACGATGCCGGCGAAACGTCTGAGAATGCATCGAGTCCACGGTCCGACGCTGGGCATTATGATAACTACTATAGCAGAGGACTTCGGACAAGAAGTGTCTAACTAAGTCCTCCTGGCAACACGACCAAGTTGACAAAACGAAGTCAACTCATTTCGATAAATCGAAGGGAGGCAACGACCAAACCGAAGGCCACATCATCTTAGCCTTCGATCAAATATTGGGATACTTCTCTTTTTCACATTTTAAGTATTGTTTTGAGACTACCAGTAAATTGGTAATATGAGATGTATTCACCCAATTTCGTTTAAGGTGATGAAGGACTGGTAGAAGAATTTTTCCACGAAAGCTCAGCACGTGTTCACCGGAATCGAAGGAGATTGCCTCGGAAACAGCGTCAGCATGAATCTTAGTAAGGCCGATCGACAGCTGGTCAAGAGGAATTCGCCGTCGTCTTCTGGTGGAACAGACCTTCGAATCTCTTCACCCAACACTTCTACTCGAAATGGAAGTAATCATAACACTTCATCACCTTGAACGGAATTGGGTGAATACATCTCATATTACTGATTTACTGGTAGTCTCAAAACAATACACAAAATGTGAAAAAGAGAAGTATCCCAATATTTGATCGAAGGCCAAGATGATGTGGCCTTCGATTTGGTCGTTGCCTCCTTTCGATTTATCGAAATGAGTTGACTTCGTTTTCTCAGCTTGGTCGTGTTGCTAGGACAACTTAGTTGGACACTTCTTGTCCGAAGTCCTCTGCTATAGTAGTGATCATAAGGTTCAGCGTCGGACCGTGGACTTGATGCATTCTCAGACGTTTCGCCGGCATCGTAGTCGGCACCTTCAATAAGTCTCGCCATTCTCAGTACCAAGCTACAATTCGTCAAAGGACAACTGTTTCGGCAGAAAATTGATCAAGAGATTGACTACACTTGCCTACTTGACGAGTTGTAGATTGGTACTGAGAATGGCGAGATTCATTGAAGGTGCCGACTACGATGCCGGCGAAACGTCTGAGAATGCATCGAGTCCACAGTCTGACGCTGGGCATTATGATCACTACTATAGCAGAGGACTTCGGACAAGAAGTGTCCAACCAAGTTGTCCTGGCAACACGACCAAGTTAAGAAAACGAAGTCAACGAAGCCACATCATCTTGGCCTTCGATCAAATATTGGGATACTTCCCTTTTTCACATTTTAAGTATCGTTTTGAGACTACCAGTAAATCAGTAATATGAGATGTATTCACCCAATTTCGTTTAAGGTAGAGCTGATGTTTCCATTAAATTTCCCATAGCCTTGCTTTCCCAAAAGTCCACTCTGGATGAGGACAAATTTTGGGAAAATTCTTCTACCAGCCCTTCATCACCTTAAACGAAATTGGGTGAATACCTCTCATATTACTTCTCTTTTGGCTGGAGCTTGAGTATTCCTAAATATGGTTCAAGGCAAATTCCCTCGTATTTTCTACCTGACGTCTGTCATCCTTCGTAGGGAGCTAATTGGAACCGACGCCACAGCTTCCCGTGGGACACTTGCACTAGTTTCTGAACGGCAGGAAGAGCCAGTCGACATCGTCACAGGCCTTGTCGACAGTCCTTGGCGCTGTTTGATCCGTGGTGCTGGGCGTCGTTGCTGATGATTATTAGTCTGAAAGTGGTTGCAAGCTGGAGGGATGGGTTTTGCTTGACCAAACCAAGATGCTGCCGACCGAGACTGTTGGCGCTGGCGAGGCTGTCGGCGGAGGAGAGCATCCAAATGGTGTGCAGCCGCCAGGTAGGTTGGACAGGATTGCGTCGGCCCATTCGGAGGAATGGAGCTGGATGAAGAGAACTCAGGGATGGTGGAGGCTGTGAGTTGGCGGTGGGGGGAAGAAAAGCGCTCAGCCGACGCCTCAAACGATGGCGTCGAAGCTCGAGACGGTGACGACGAGGATGCTGATGCTGATGGCGAAGGGGAGGAAGAAGAGGAAGAGGAACATGGCCCGCATTTTTCTTGAATCCCTGGCGCGGGATCGACTGAGTCCGGTAGGGTAGAAATGGGACAATTTCGGAATCGCGGTATATTTTCATCACTCCGCTTGTGGTCAACAGGCTGTTCATCCAGATAGGCTAATAGCCATTCACGAGGAGGTGGTGAAGAGTTGGTGTGTATCCGAGGTGATCGGAAAGGAAGCCGAGTTCCGAGAGCCACTTGGCCGACCAGAGAAGTGGCTAAAATTGTGGGTGATATGGGTTGGCGTGGCCGAGGCCTAAATCGTGAGGTGGGGTAAAAGTGAGGGGCATGAGAGGTATCAGGAGGAGAAACAGGGCGGAAAAGATGAGAGGGAGAAAGAGGGGGCGGAGAATAGGTTGAAGATGAGTGAGCCACGACACATTTGGCAGATGAAAGGATTCTGTCACGGTTAGAATGTGTGTCGGCAACATTTATACTGGAGCAAGAACCGCTGAGATGCTTGCCGACTGCGGGTGAATCTGGAACAATGGGAAAATGGGAAATAAGGTGTAAAGATTTAAAAAAAAGCATTTTCATTATGAGGTATAAGGACCATAAAGTTTATTTTACTGTATGTGTGTAATTAAAAAATTGAGTGGACCAAATGGGATAATTTAGAAATAATGAAGGTTTAGATGGCCAAGCTCTTTTATGAATCAAAAGGACACAAATCGCGGACCAGGCTACCGTGGCATAGACAATGGCCTGGTGGCCGGAAGCAGTGAATGGCAACTGAAACAAAAAGAAATATAATTTTTCTAAATGCTAGGTATCGCCAATAATGATACAGATTGTTGACCGTGTGGATTCCAACAAAGCAGAATAACGCCTAAATGAATGGGCTAGATTGACAAAATCGGCAGACATGGGAAATTGCGTGAAATAGACTAGGTTTCTCATTAAGCACAAAGTATATTAAATAGCCTGAATAATCGGTCGATTGGCGCAACGCAGTGGCGACTGCAAAGTTAAAGGATCAAATACTGGTAGATATGTCTTCGCAATATGACACCGGTCTGTGTAGAGAACATTCAGGCTTCACTTTAATGCCTTTTTTATAAGCAACCATTAAAGATGTATTGAAAGCAAAACAACTCTGGGATTATAGCAAGACATTAACGAAGATCGTGGCTTTCCAGTTATTTTGGTCGGAGGGAATCCATGAGAGATTGTTTACACTTGAGCTCAATCACGAAATCTTTTGGCTGATTGGGAAAAACTATGCTGTGATGCCATAAGGGAAACATAAACAATAAGAAAGATAAACAGATAAATAATGTACTTAGTGGACATTTATTCGTTTAGCATTCGTTGGCCCGTACAAAGTAGAGATGTTCAACTTTAGGATGAAGCTAACCTTTATTTGTTGCCTAAGAGTGAATAAAGTTTAGACATCACTGAACACAATGACGTCACACTAAAGGGATTAATTTACAATGAAAGGCTATGGATGGACGTAGAAGAGGTGGAATTTTACGGCCGTTTACACCAATCTCTAATATGTCTCCGATGCTGACCTTTGCTATTGTTAACCCCATTGATATAGGGCATCAGAAGGAGGCTTCGGCTCTGAGGTGGAAACTTTTAAAAAAGGTTGACTCCTAGAAAACTCCTATTTTGTTGTAAATGAAGGTAGCGGACAATTCGAGGTGTATACGTCTGAATGATCAACAATTGGAATGTTTTCATCTCTAAGGTGGGGCTAATTTAGTTGATTATTCGGTCTCAACGATTGCGATTGACATTTTGTGTGAGTCTTATGAACCAAAAATCACTGAAGATATGAAGAGTAAGATGTTGTAGCCTCTGGTATGGTCGCAGTTTCCTTTATATTCATAGAAGTGGGTTGACCCCGTTGTCGCAACTTGGTCTTGTTGTCAGGGCGACATAGTAGAGCGAACCTAGTCCGAAGACGTCTGTCAT